AATAAAGAAGACTCCGACTATAATAAAGGTAGCCAAACTAGTATTAAGATGCCTATTATAACTAGAAGATATATAATACTAAGTACTAGTTATTATATAAAGTACTAGTCTAAAACCAAAAGCTAGAAAATAATCCTAAATACTGAATTAAAGAAGTAATACCTTATAGATATTAATGAATTAGTATATAATACTATTTAGGAAGTCGGAAAACCCCTCAGAAGCTTCTATAAGACTAAGATTATATAGCTCAAGGCCCGGGAATTCGATAATAAAGTAGCTTAAATAGCTGCCCTTAATAAATAAATCTCTATTATAGAAGAATAACTTAAGAATATATATATTAAGCTCGAGAAGGCCCAGAAATTAATTAAGTAGTTTAGAGACGGTATAATCAAGTCAAATATTACTACCCTAGCTAAGAAGAAAGGCAAGCAAGCTACTATATTAAAGCCTATATTAATAAATAGACTTGATTTGCCACCCCTATTTGAAGACCGCCCAATAATAATAGTCCCAATATCGGCCATGGCCTATATGGTACTCCCAGACCATATTATTAATATGGGTATAGGCATAATGCGAGTAACGGATACTGAGGACTGGCCGGAACGTACTAGGAACTGGGTTATTCTGGTAGAGTCAAGACCACGCTTCGATTATAAGTAAGCTATAGGGATTAGACGGAATGGGGTTAATAGCCGTTATTTTCTCTTTTTTCTTTTCTATATTACGGCTGAATGATTCCCTAAATAAGGGCATTTAGACTTCTCTTTAGGGGGAGGGTAATATAATGGCTGGCGTAAGGGCATGATCTGCCAAGGACAGGATATCGGAAACAGATATAAAATAAAGCTAAGCCGGAATTGCTTGGACGGAATAATACTAAAGGTCGAGGCATCCTCCCTACTTTGTTCCATAGCTTAGTATTTTCCAATACATGAGATTCTTTGAACTTTGAGCCTTCGACCATTGCATTGATCCCGCCGTTACAACTGGAGAATGCTTATTGTATTCGGGAATGGCCTATACTACTGGAGAATGCTTGTTGTATTCGGGAATAGCCTGTGCCAGTGAGGAATATATATTATATTCGGGAATAGCCTATGCTAGTGAGGAATATATATTATATTCGGGAATAGCCTGTGCCAGTGGGGAATACATATTATATTCGGGAATGGCCTATATCACTGGAGAATGCTTGTTGTATTCGGGAATAGCCTATGCCACTGAGGAATATATATTATATTCGGGAATGGCCTATACCACTGAGGAATATATATTATATTCGGGAATGGCCTATGCCACTGGGGAATGCATATTATATTCGGGAATAGCCTGTACCAGTGAGAAATAAGCCAGAAAAGATCCTTTAGTTACTTCCCTTTACTTATATAACTTATAATTAAAAATGTACTTGGGACTCCAGAGCTAAATTAGCTGACTATGCGGGTCGAGTACAGTTTGACAGTTATTATTACTAGTGAGGAATATATGGCCATTCCCAAATGGGCTTTTCCAGTGAGGAATATAGCTAGTCACGTGCACCGGCAGAAAAAAACGCTGCGTCCTGGCAGCGTTTATTTTCGGAATGAATAAGAATTCTTTATATATATAATAAAACGAACTTCTAATAAATTAATTAATATTTCTATCTTGCCCTTTATTATATCTTATTAGTATTAAATAAAATACAAAAGATAAGAGTACGAATCTTACTAATATATTCTAATAACTTTCGCGACATTTCGCTCTTTATCTAGCATAATCTAGATTGCTTGATTAAGGTAAGGCCATTATATTAGAGGAGGGTATATTTATTGTTACACTGGCTTTAATTTTTTATATAGCTTTGAACTGACTTGCAAGAGAATGGTTCCTGGATATTAGATAAAGGAGTGCTCTGCGGGACCGTTTCTGGACCCTAGACCTGCTCTAGGACATCCATTTTTATGGGGGATTCTATTCTGGCTCCCTCTATATAGCGGTATTCAAGGGCAATAGTTTTCTCTTAACTAATAAGACGTAACCGGAAAATCGGAATATTTGCTCTCCTAAGTCATGCTCCCCTCCTATTCTGTATTCTCGTACAAGTTTTAAAACATTAAGATCGACAGGAACTTGACCCCTATTAGAATTATGTAATATGTATATAGTAGAAGGCTCTCTAAACGGATAGACATAGGAATAATACCCGATCCTCAGGGAATTAGAGATCACCACGTGCTCGTGGGCACCTACTCCCTAGATAGGAGTAATAGTAGTCCGCTATACTGAGCCCTATTATAGAAGCTGAAAATAAAAAGATACGAAATTGCTTGTAACAAATTATTCACTGAAGCGTTTGCTATTGCCGACCAGCCATTCGTTCGATTGTCGAGGTGGCTGCTCGGCAAAGATTGACTGGCTCTTACGAGCCCGCAAAAACAGGGGTGGGTTTTTTTCTACGGTCGCTCACATTCAGCCTCGTTCATGTTTATAGTCCAATTCTTCGACTTGAAGTTTGCCTTTCTTTACATTTGCATCACCTTCGGGTTCACTTCATTCTAGCGTATATATTAAAGCGTCCATCACTCAGTTCTAACGCCAAGGTTCACACCGAACCTCGTACGTTGGTAGCATTGTACATAGTACATCCGAATCCTCGATCTTCAGCTCTTCTGGGAAGTAACAATGCCTCCAAACACGGAACCGAAGCAACCAGGTGGCCGACCCAGACTCCCGTGGACGAGTTCAAGGAAGAGGCATCTCACTCGTCTCTACCTGATGAGCGATCTCTCAATCCCAGAGATAGGAGCAGTGCTGTCCGAAGAGGGATTCACGCCAGGGTTGGTTGGTCCAGAAAATCCCCATTCGAGAAATATGTGCTGACTTTGCCCAGTGAACGGAACATCCAGGCTCAGTTGAAAGAGCTTCTTCCGGATAACCAGGCTGAGTGGCGACGCTATCGTCCCGCGAGTGAGCGGCAAATGAAGCTAAGGTTGGCCAACTTAAAGCTTTGCGAGCAATACCATGTCGAAAAATATTCTCAGCGTTCCTCTCGAAAGAAACTCCGACGCACTTTAAAGGACGTGAGGGAAACGAGCTCAGCTGAACCTTCGCCGTATTATGATCCATCGAGGCATTATAAACATGAGTCGGTCGTGGGACATCCTTCTCATTTCACTATGCCTCGCGTCGATGTTTTATACAGGCCGTTTCCAGAGGCTAGGGAGGGTATACCTCAGTTATCAGAGCGACAGGAGAACCCATTCAGCGACAAGGAGGTCATCGCTGTTCCTGATGAACGACATATTGAGCGCTCTGTCGAAGGCTCAAGGGATGTTGTCCTTGATGACCCGATTAATGAGATCCAAGACACAATGATGCGGCCAAATCTTGAATCATTGCCTCCTCAGCCAGAGGAGGAAAGTTTCACGGTATCGTCACGCGGATTGAAGCGATTGCATTCCACATTGAATCGCGCAAGTGACAGCTTGAGCATTACAGACTTGACTACTCTGCTATCTTCAAGATTTTCATTGAGCGATGTAAAATCAGTACTCTCAAGTAACAGTTCTTGGGGAACGAGCACTGCATATGCTCGGAGTATTGCCACAAGTGCCAGGTCCAAGGCCCTTTCCAAGGGCGAACTGAGTGCCTGGGATGAACTAGTGGATGAATCCAGGTTGGATCTAGACCCACGGCGCGCCCCAGACTATGAGCTTATATCACTGTGGGATCGATCATGTTGTCGTTTCAGGAAGACACTTTCCTCTAAGGGGCGTTGCATTCGTTGCGGGTTCTCATCCTCACATTGGCTGGCACGCTCCACCAGAGTAGACTACTCTCACGTAGACTACTCTTACATAGATGCAACATTGCCTTTGGACCGATTTGGCAATACGCCCATCCATCATGCAGCAGCCGTAGGAAATTTCGCTGCTGTTATGCAGTTGATGGACCGTACTAAGCCTCCCGGGATCAAGAACACGTCTGGTGAGACTTTCTTGCATGTCTTCAGTGTAAACGGGATATCTCAATCATCAGAATACCTGCAGGTCCTCAAAAAGGCCCAGGCACAAGGATACTCGTTCTCTGCCGAGGATTTTCGAGGGGAAAATGTGGCCCAAAGATTTAAACGGGGGAGCCGCGTGTCGCTCTCCATTATCTCCGATGAACGTCCCAATCTGTTAGAAATCCTTGACATATTCAAATCCCACGGCGTCCGACTTGAGAAAGGCGCTAGAACTACCCTCAAGCTTGGAAACTCGTCGCTTCCTTTTCTGACCTGGGTAGCTTACGTTCGCACAAACTCCCAGGATATCGATGAGATCGAGAGGCGCACTTGCCCATTTCGAGGTTGCGAAAGGATATTCGAGACGACAGGCGCGATGCTCCTGCATATTTATAGGTGCCCACAACTGTCAAAAGGAACTTACAAATGTTTCAAATGCGGGAAATTTGAGAAGGCCAGTAAATGCCATGTCGCAGGTTGTCCGCGTCGATTCTCCTCAGTTAAAACACCTCTGAGAATCATAAAGCGACTACTTAGTCCACAACAGCCAAAGGACTGCCACCTAAACCCAAATTCTGAACGGGCAGAACTTGGATCGTTTGAATTAGCAGGTTCGGCTGTTAACCTAACAGGGCTCGACACAGACGGCGAGATGCCCCTGCAAAGTCACGGCTACAACATGCCAGCCAAGTTTCTAGGCTTCAGTTCATATTCGCCTTGCAGGGGTATTCAATTGCAAGCCACAATTTCGGACTCGAGTGCAGGCCATGACATATCTAGCCACAACCTTGAAAGCATAGCAGAGGAGATAGCTGAAAGCGACACCAATGACGAAGAGCTTCCAAGCTGCGAACTGGATGCCGAACGAGATCCTGATGTGAGTCAACTATTGGACCATCTCTCGCATATTGGCGAAAGTAGCGAAGAGCAGCTGGCTTCAGCATTGACAAACTGTTCAACATGCATGGACTGTTTGAAACTTTTGACAGACTCCAAGTCAGCCTGCTCAGAAGGGGGTCTAGTTCAAAATGCGAACATCGGTATGCGAGATGAACGCGGATACACTGTGCTTGCACTAGCAGCCCGTCACGGCTTTAGAGACATTGTCTTGCAGTTGCTACATCGTGGAGCGAATCCAAACACCAGGAGTTACCAAGGAACCGGTGTACTGGCCCATACAGTAGTACATCTATCCCGAGCACAGAAGACTCAAGACGACAGATTGTATGCAAGGATCCTGTCCTGTTTAGTGGTTTTGACAGACCATGGTGCTAAGCCTAAACCTTCGGCCTACGATGAATTCAGCGTTCATATTCCATCGTGTGATGGCTTGGGAGTAAACACTGGTTGCAAGCGCCTGTCACGTGAAGAAGGACTTACAGGGTATGTCTAGGTTCGCCGGGATGTATATAGCTCAGCCCGTGATCTTAGATGGACCGTTCGAGAGATAACGTACCGACCCGCTAGACACCAGGGGAATAGAATAGGGAGGATCAAGATCATTGTATGGTATAGATTCACTCTATCAAGAGCATGCAAGAAGCTGTATAAGCAGAGTATATATGGTCACGAGTATAAAGGTTAGTATAATTAGATATATTTAATATATTCTAAGAATTTCTCTAGCAACCTCCATTTGAATTAGCAAGCAAACGCTAAAAGTCTTTTCCTCTCTATTATATAATCTTATAAATCTGATATAAATAAGATTAAATTTATATAATTATAAAATTATAAGCTATTATAAGATTCTTATATATATTATTCTTTTTAATTTACTTATTATACTTATCTAATTACTCTTATTATTTAATTTAGTATTAGGTAATTATTTTCTTATACTTGCCTTTCTTATATAAAATAATTTGCCTTTTTAATAATTATTTAATAATATACTAATTATTATCTAAGGTTATAATAAATGACTCGAGTTTTTAAATAAATTATTTATAAAATAATAAGTATTTATAAGATAATAAGTATTTATAAGATAAGGATAATAAGTATTTATAAGATAATAAGTATTTATAAAGATAATAGTATTTATAAGATAAAAAGTATTTTAAATATAGAATTCTAATAATATTATTTTTTTATAATTAATATAATTATATTTAAAAAATTAAAAAATTAAAAATTATTTATTTTAAAATTAATTAAGCTATAATTAAAAGTAGAAAACGGCTTCTAACTTATATTATTATTATTATTATTAATTATTATTATTATTATTATTATTATTATTATTATTATTATTATTATTATTATTATTATTATTATTATTATTATTATTATTATTATTATTATATTATTATTATATTATTATTATTATTATTATTATTATTTATTATTATTATTATTATTATTATTATTATTATTATTATTATTATTATTATTATTATTATTATTATTATTATTATTATTATTATTATTATTATTATTATTTAAAAACTTATTCTAGTATATTAGCTTAATACTTTTAATAATATTAAAATAAATATTTTTTATATTTTGGAATTCTTATTTATAAAAAATATATTCTAAAGCTTTAAACTTATAACTATAATATAATATTAATTTATATAAGGTTTTTAAGTTTTTATTTTATTAGGGTTTAAAATATAAACTAATAATAGATTTTAAAATACTATTACTAGCTACTTCTATTATTTTATTAATAAAGTCTTTTATTAATAAGTCTAGTTCTTAATTTCCAGATATATTATTAAATAGAAAAAGTATATTTTTAAGCTTATTAGTAAAATAGCTTATAAATTTAGCCTAGTCTGCTTTCTTAATATTAAATCTAATTAAATTAGAACTAGAGCTATAAATCGATTTACTAATAATAAATAGAACCTTAAAATAATTAGAATCTAAATTTAGTAATATTTACTAGTTTTTAATATTAGTTACTATTTTATTAGTAATAAAACTTAAATCTAATATAAAATAAATAAATATATTTAATTTATAGAAAATATTTTATTTTATTTAATAGCTTTAAAAAATAATTCTTTATATAGCTAATTAAATAGATTATATAAATACTTTAAGGTTTTAGGAAATCTTACTAAAAATAATATATATTAAAATTATCTAGTTATAAAAAGCTATTATAAAAAATAGTAAATAAAATATTTTTTTCTAATATAATTAATATATTATTAGGGTTTTCTAAATAAATTATATTATAGAAATTAATTAGTTATATTATTAATATATTTAGACTTAAGTTTATAATTAAATAATCCGAATTACTTAATAAGTTTTGAGCTAGACTAGCTTATAATTTACGAGTTATATAAACTAAAGTTCTAGGTCTTAAAATATTATAATTCGGAAGTATTTAGTAATAGCTAGAATATATAATAAAATAATATTTCCGATTATTATTTCTTATTATTATTTAAGGCTTTAAAATTACTAGAACTTTAATATTTAATTTTATAGCTATTTATAAAACATTTTTAGTAATAAAGCTATTATAATTTATATTAATTTATAGTACTTTAATATAGCTATTTATTAATAATAATAATAGGAATTATAATAATAGCTTGTTTTATTATTAAATAGATTTTATATAGCTTGAAATTAATTAAATAAGTAATATTTAAATAATTAGAATATTTAGTAATTATATAAAAGTATTTTTTCTTTTTTCTTTTATAAATAAAGCAAAAATAGTTCTTAGTTATATAACTTTTCCTATATAATAAATATTTAGATTCTTTTTTATAAATAAAATCTAAATATTTATATTTTATATATTTAATATATTATATAATATTAGAAATAATATAATATTTTATTATTTTAGTAAAGATTCTAGCTATAAGAAGTTTATTTTTAATAAGAAATACTATTATTACTAAATTAGCTTACTAAAAGCCTGAGTTTCTTTTTTTTATAGAAATAAGCTAATAAAATTAGTTAATAGACTTTAGTTTCTTATTAAAGATCTTAATTTCTTTTAAAACTAGATCTATTTCTTTAAGTATATTAAACTTATAAATAAATATTTATAAATAATAACTTTATATTAGGGTTTCTTTTTTTATATATTTTTTACTAAAAGAAATACTTTTTTTATAATTATTTTATTTTAAATTAGAAAATTAGAATTAAATTCAAGAGTAATATTAATTATAATATTATTCTTTAAAAAAAAGACTATAAAAATTATTAATTCTTTAATTTCTTTTAAATAAAAAGTAATATTAAATAAATTATAAATAAATATAGCTAAAAAAGAATTAGTTTACTTTATATAAGCTAGTAAAAAGGTGCTTTTCCTAGAAAGAGCTATAGATTTAGTATTATATATACTATTTGAGCTAGTATTATAAGTACTAGAACTACTAATATTATAAGTACCGGGTTTATTAGTATTATAAGTACTAATTTTTACTAATATTATAAGTATTAGGGCCTCTATTTCCTCTCTAATTTTTAGACTTAGTATATAATACTAAAGTCTAGTTCTTTTTCAAGTATAATAGTTCTTAACTAGTAATTTTAGTTCAAATAAACTTTATAGAAATAGTATTTACTTGAGTTTTAGCCTGAAATTTAATTTATTTAATAGTATTTTCGAGGTTAGTTATTTAAAAGGCTAGTAAAGTACTAGTATATTAAATATAGCCGAATTCTATATATTTTCTAAAGATTTCTACTAGATCTAATAAGCGAAATTACTAATTATATAATATAATAATTATAATAGCTTTAATTATTAAATCCCGGATTTAATAAATTAGTAATTTAGCTTTATTTATAGCTTAATTCTAGTATTAGTAATAGTTTCTATAGTTTTAGTATTTCTTATTAATATTAATATTATTCGAGCTAGAGTCTTATTTTAGCCTATTTTAGATATAGTTTAATCGAGCCGTATTAGCTAAATTAGATTAAGAAAAAGAGGCTATAAATTTATTTAAAAAAATGGGATTTATAATTAAATTAAAGGCAAACTAGATATCTAGTATAAACCGAGCTAGTAAAGAGCTAGTAAATAGCTCTAGCTATTTACTAGGGCTTTCTAGAAGCTTTCCGAGAACTTAAAAGTTTTTATAAAAAGAGCTAGAGTTCGGGAAATTAGAAGAAGCTATTTAGCCTAGCTCTAGTTCTACTAATAATAGATTCTAGAGCCTAGAACTAAGAGAAATAAATATACTAAGTAAGTTCTAAAAATAAATAAAGTTTTAGAATAAAAGTAATAGAAATAAAAAACCGAGAGAAAAGTTAACTTATAAATATTACTAGTTATATATATTTAGCTAAAGGCTTAATAGTTATTTCTATTAGTTAAATACCTAATATAAAATAGAAAACTATAATTATAAAGCTTTATTTTACTAAAATATCTAGATTAAGAAATAGAATTCTTTTTAAAGAGAAATATACTAGAAATCTCGACTTTATTAGTATTTCCTAAAAAGCTTTAAAAGCCTTTTCTTTTATAAATATAAATATATAAATAGTTTTAGTAATATAATTATAATATTTTTCTTTTATTACTTTTATTTTTATTTTTATCTTAAATAATACTATTTTTTATTATTATATTAGCTTAATAACTTAAATATAACTTAGTAAATATAGCTATAATTATCTAGTTATACTAATATTATATTTCTAGTACTTTTAAAATTATTAGAAACTTAATATTCTTAAATATTATAACTTTATTCTCGGTTATTAATATATCTAGAATATTAATAAAATAGCTAAGTAATTTTACTAAAATATATCTAATAAATGACTTTTTTATAAAAAGAAAAAATTAAAGTTTAGAAAAAAGTTAAAAAATAGTTTCTAAATAATAAATATATTATTTTATTATATTTAAGAAAATAATATTATTATTAATAAAGTTTTATATAAAATAAATATATATATATAATTATTTATTTATAAAGTATTATATATATTATATTAAGTTATAAAAATTTATTAGAATAATATTTAATTATTTTAGTTTCTTATAGCTAATTATTATAAAATAGTTATAATATTCTTTAATAATAAGAAATTAGTAAAAGAACTATAAGCTATTTATAATAGATATAGCTTTTTTTTAAAAAAAAATATTAATAAAATTAGATTATAAAAATATAAAATAAATATTTAAAACTATAAGCTTATTTATAATTTATAAATTTATAACTAGATATTTCTTAGTAATAATAAATATTAGTATTATAAAAAGATTAATTCTATAATTTAATTTATTTTATTTTTCTTTTATAAATTATTAAAAATATAATTAATAATAGCTTTATATTTAAT